GTAAATGATCTTTGATCAGCACTTTTTCATGTACAGGTAATTAGAGGAGACAATAATTGTCCAAATTTAGATTTGGTGGCAAATGAACAATGATTGCTGAATCATTACATTTTATCATTGGCTGAAGATTTTCTTCAGATTTAATATAGGAACTTGCTGCGTCTTCAGAGAGTGCAGCGCCCTCTACAGGGTTAGCAGGTACTGTTTCTTGCAGGAAGGTGGTGAGAGGAGGTTTAGTCCAGGTAGCTGTGGAAATTGGTGGGCTTGAAATAGATGTCAGTTTTGAGGCAGTCACCAGAGATGGAGACAGAGAAGTCCAGGAAAGAGAGGGAGGTATCGCAAATTGTCTAGGTGAATTTGAGGTTGGGGTGAAAGGTGTTAGTAAAGTTGATGGACTCTTCAAGCTCCTTTTGGGAACACGAGGCAGTGCTGATACAGTCATCAATGTAGCGGAGGAAGAGGTGGGGGATAATACCAGTGTAGCAGCAGAAGAGGGACTGTTCAATTCCTGCACATCACAGATGTTCTCCAATTTCAAGGACCGTAACTTGCCCCCTTCAGTGATCGAAAATGCCCTCAACCACATCTCTTGCATTTCCTACACCTCTGCCCTCACAACCCCTCCCCCCAACAAAAATAAAGCCCTCACATATCACCCCACCAACCTCCGTATCCAACGTATCATTCTCTGCCACTTCCGCCACCTACAATCCGACCCCACAATCAAAGATATATTTCCCTCCCAACCCCTATCTGCCTTTTGTAAGAACCGCTCTCTCTGCCACTCCTTTGTCCACTCTCCACTCCCCACTAACCCCAGCACCTTTCCCTGCAACTGCAGGAAGTGCTACACCTGCCCCTATGCCTCCCCCCTCACCTCCATTCAAGGCACAAAATAAAGCTTCCACATTAGACTGGAGTTCACCTGCACATCCATCAGCCCAATGGCCTAAACATGGATTTTACCAGTTTTAAAATCTCCCCACCCCTGGCCTCATCCCATGTCCAACCCTTCCTCTCATCCCCGCCTCCCTGACCTGACACAACCTGTCCATCTTCTCTCCCACCTATCTGCCCCTCCCACCTCACTGACCAATCCCATTTTCCAACAAGTATGGTCACATACCTCCCAGTTCCTATGGAGGTTTGACAATGAGCTCCTTAAGAAGCCTCATTGGCTTCAATAAAATGGCTCAGAATTGGGCTTATTCTGTTTGTGTCTAGAAAATTATTTCCGCAGAGTTCCACAAGACTCAATACTGGACCCATTACATTTTGTGATATATATCAATTAACTTGAAGAAAATCTTTGGGGAGTAATTAAGCCTGTTGATGAGATAGAAAAAGTAGTTTTGTGGGGTTGATGGTGAGTAAGCTGTACACTGCAGGAAGGGATTAGTGAGCTGATCAGGTGGCCAGGAAAGTGGCAAATATAAAACAATTCAGAGAAATGTGAAGAAGTGCATTTGGGGAAACCAAACAAGGCACAGGAACACACAATAAATGGCAGGTTAGAGAGGAATGTAAAAGAACAGAGAGATGTTTAAGTGCATGCCCACAGACCACTGAAGGTAACAGGTTAGGTGCAGAAGCTGGTTAAGAATGTCTACGGTATAATTCCCTTTATTAACTGATTCACATAATATAATGGCAGTGAGGTTATTGCTAGAACAGTATATCCCAATTAGATTGTGTTTTGTTGGAGATGATCATTGCCTGACACTTTTGGAATGAGTGTTACTTGACATTTATCAGCCCAACCTTGACTATTGTTCAGGTCTTGCTGCACATGGGCACAGACATGGTCTAGAATCTGAGATGTGACTGAGACATAACATTGCTCACACATCAGCCAATGTCCCACTTCTGAACTTCTTTTTCGAGATAGGTCTTTGATGAAGCAGCTGAAGATGGTTGGGGCCTGGGACTTAAGTGATGGAGCTGAGGTAATTGGATTTCACCAACCACTAGCAACTTCCTTTGTGTGAGGTATGACTCCAACAAGCAGAGAATTTCCCACTAATTCCATTGAATTAAATTTTGATAGGGCTCATTCAGTCAGCTGCTGTTTTGATGACAAGGATGGTCACTCTCACCTTGCCTTTGGAATTCAGTGTTTTCCTCCATGTTTGGATCAAGACTTTAATGAGGATTGTAGATGAGTGGCTCTGGTGGAAGCCAAACTGAGCATCATGAGACATTGTCACTTGGTAGCAGGGGTCAACAACAATTTTCATGACTTTGTTCTACAAGAAGATTTAAGGGCATCTGTGATTATTCTATTGAGTTGGTTTTGGTGTAAAAAGCATGGTGAGGTTATTGCTGCTCGCTATTATTCAAGCGTGTAAATTGGGTAACAACTTCCAGCATCTGCACATGCCAAATTAAATGTGAAAATTGGGAGAATTCCCTGATCCTCCAGAAATTTTCTGTAAAGTTACCTTCCGTTGAACTAAGCATTGAAATAAATGGAACACAGTCAAGCTGCTTTACTCAGGTGATACATACCCAGTCAAATGGCAGAAAACGTCGTTGATTTCAGTGGAAGTAAGTTTAATTGTTGCAGCAGGTCTCACATACTTCCACAAAACTGCAGTGGCACTGCAAGTTAAGCTTGAAAAGTGACATTCTCATTCCTTACAATTTGAATTATTGCTGAAAACAAATTGTTTGACACGCGTTTTCTGTCTCATATCTCAGCTACCCTGTAGAGGTACTGCACCCTCCGGAAACATAGGAAGTTCCCGAATTAAATTCCAAGAAACTCTTTAGCCAATGGTCAAATGTAATGATTATTCATTTGCTATTGAGTGACAGTTTGGACAATTATTGTCTCCTCTACTTACAGAGAGATGGAAACATGTTGATCAAAGCTTATTTACATTTTGGATTGTCCCATCAAAGATTCATACATATCAAAGTTATTAATGCAATTTTTTAAATGACGAAAAGGCAAAGTTTGAAGTGTGACACCATCGCTTTACCTCGGGTTTGAGTGGGATGGTAAATCTTTTCTCTCTGAATTGAATTTGGACAGTCTTTACTCAGTGCCTAAATGGGTCAAGGTAAAGACATAAACTAGCTGTAATATTGTTGAAATTGCCACCCATGTGCCCATCAAAAACACCATTTGACTAAGGTTTGAAACATTTGTCTGAATCTTACCTTTTTGGGCTGAGTTTGAGTTCTGTCAGGTTTTTTTGAGAGTTGGTCACAATGAGGCATACTGTGTTCACGCAGTACATTTAACCAAACACACCTCATGAAATACCCATCCTGCCATGTGGTGTTTGCCAAGTCTGACCTATGCCCTATCTTCCCACTTGCCCTCCCACAACAGCTCACCACTCAATAGATATTCCAGAATCAATTGGCATCCCTTGTACCCATACCTTCTTTCAAAGTGGGTTGTGCACCCAGACAAGCACTGTCAGTGCAGAGCTGCCTTGCACAGCACCTGACATTTCCCCTGGATTTGGGAGACAGGGGGAAATAGGTATCTTGCTTTGTGGGCAGATAACAGGAGGTCCTGCTAGACTGATGGGTGAAGAGGCAGGACTTCCACCTCTCCCAGGACCAGTTGTGGTGGCCACAATGTCTGGCCAGACCAGCCTCGTCTGAGATTGCCATGAGCATTCAACCAGTTTCATCCATCTGGTGAAATGGTGGGTACTCATCTTCTTTCTGATGCTTCACACTCACTCCATCTCTGTGACTGTATCCAGCTCCCACCAAGGCTCATGCTTTAACACTCTCACTATTACTGCAGCGTCTTCCCCACTCGCTCTAAACCATCCCAAATCTCGACACCGCATGCACTCTGTTCTGCCTACTCACTCACCTGAGGACATCTCCCCACACAACTAACGCTAATACCAATGCCACCCACTTTATTTCCTGTAATACTCACCCCTCCCTCATTCCGTGAGAGAAGGCAGCCACAATTTGGCAGAAAGAGTCAGGATGGCTAATGGTCTTCCCAACGTTCAGCTATTCATGCTCCTGTGAGGACAGCATCCTGAACCTGCCCCAACCTGATCAGGGCCTGGACTGGTGTTGGGGCCTGCTCTTCACTTAGTGTCCTAGGAACCCCTGAATTCTGCTCACTGCACTGTTTCTCCTCAGATGATGCTGTTAATTTGTTTCCTCTTTTTGTTTATAACGATAACCATCTGGTTTATCTGCCCCAAGCGCAGTACAGGCTGTATCCCTCTGATTGGGGTAGAGGGCTGCTATTGGGGCACTCTGAGTTCTGCTAACACTATTGCACCATGAGGCAAGAGAAACCCTTATTCTAGCCGAACAGACCTTCCTCTCAGTCCAGTCTGACATTGAACTCACTCCTCAGTCTCACCACGCGCTTGGTCATGTTTATTACAAGTTGATTGAAGGCTCTAAACCAAACTCTAACTGTTTACTTCACTGAGATGTGAAGCCTGTTAAAATAAAATCTGCACATGCTGTTTCCACACAAATCGCCTTTTTCGCACTCGGGATCAGCCGAGTGCCTGTTCTCTACATTACCTCCAGTGTTTCCCTCGGCATGATCATGTAATGTGTGTACAGGCTAACTGTTTCTGGATCTCCTGTGGCTGTGTCTCCCGTGGTGATTAGATGGAACAATGACTGCCGACCACTCCATCCACCAACACTTCCAGGTCCCTGCTCATAAAGCAGGGAGCAAGATTTCCTTTCCTCCAGGCCATATGCTTGGTTTTAATGGTCAAGCACTGCAGTGTGAGGTTGGGTTTCTGGCTTGCACAGTCAGAAGGGTTGTGCAGTTGGAATTTCAATATAGACTTATAGACATTTACAGCACAGAAAGAAGCCATTCAGCACATCAAGACAATGAAGATTCCTCACCCTAACACTACACTAATCCCATTTTCAAGCACTTGCCACATAGTCTTGGAGGCTATGGCAATGCGTGAATATCGTAATTTTGCATAAATGTCAGAGAGTTTCTGACTCAGTTACTCTTTCAGGAAGTGAGGTCGGCTTCAGAATAGTCTGACAGTGAAGCCACTCACTCAGTCCTCATCGAAGATAGTTCTGAACTTTACCAGCAAGCTGAGTGAAACTCGCTTCATGTCAGTCGCTCGGTTACTATCTGTTTGCTGTGAATTATTTGTATTTTGTCTGCATGTACCATGTTTAAATGTGTCAAAGTAGTTCTCCGATGCTGAAGGTAGAAAAGTATTCAACATTTTTCAATGTTCAATATCTAAATTCCAAATCATCCCTTTGATTATTTTAACTAGAGGTTTTTTCCGCCTGAAATATTGCTTTGACCAATCAAATAACAAGGAAGTCAATTGAGAATAAGTTTCGATTTCTCACTCTTTGGGGTAGAATATTTGTCACCCAGACTCACTGCAAGCTGCCTTTGCTCCACTAGGGCTGATACAGCGACACTGATGTTGATATAGAACCAGGTAAGGATTTTCTACCTCCAGTTTGACAAGCTCCATTCCCCAGTCCCATGCAGCGCAGCCTTACCGTACTCCACATTGTGGTATCTGACTGAACTGCAGAATCCTGCAGGGCGCACACTAAAATACAGTATCGGACTGATATTGAGTCTCTAGTCGTACGTAGACAGAAAGCAAAGAAGGCAAACAAGAAGACAAATTGCAAAAACAATTAGGAAAATGCTGTTAGAAAAATTTCAACATAATTTTGTGTTAAATTTTATAGCTGCTCAATGTGAAGGAATTTGAGTGAGGGAGTGCGACGCTTGTACCTTTCTTGGGGTGCATTGGATTTGTTTTCATAAGTGATTAGAAATGGATATTTTATAATTTTGAAATGTACAGGTCAACATATAATTCTGCTGGATTCAGGCAGCTAGCAGGTAAGGTACCTTCATTGTTTCATGTGATTGGTTATTATCGGGATTTTACCCAGACACAGAAACCATTATATATTTGAGTTATGATTTTACTTCACTGTTAGATGAAGCCTGTGTTTTCTAGCTATCTGTGGTACAGGAAGTTGTTGAATGTGGTGATGTTGTGAATTAGATGACTGACAGTTTTATGGATTAGGTCATTGTCAATAATTAATGTATCTGCTGGATTCCACCCTCATATTGTATGGGCCAGGCATGATCTCAGGATAATGATTGTTTAAATGTAAAAAAAAGTACAGCAGTGAAAAATTGATGCAGCAAACAACAACATTCTACATTTTACGTTTTTGTTTGACAAAATAACATAAGGTGCAGAGTTTTCTATAAATTGAATCTTTTATATGTTATTGGATTCATTGAAAATTGAGCATCTTTGCTTTATTTTATGTAGAACGTCGCACTGAAAGTGTTCATTTCTCTGGTGAGTTGAGAAGATGCTTTCTAACATTTTTCTTTAATTTAGTCAGTTATCAAATTGAGCTTTCCCTTTGTTATCAGGAGCCTGGACAACCTCACAAATTACTTTATTAATGTGTTAAACAAGACTTGTGTTGCTGATATATTTTATTACAAACTAGATCTTATATATTTCCCACAAACTGAACTAGAATCTATTCATACACGCATCAGGGTCCTCTGACATTCCCCAAGTACTCTCAGAATATAAAAGCCAATACCCGATCAGGATAGCTGCCACTGCTGACCAGGGCTGATGCTGGCCAGGCGCTGCACTCAGTGTTGTCACCACGTCCTTAACATAGGGACTGCTTCTGCGCTTGTCGATCTCTGGAGTTTTCCCTGGCTGCATGTCCCAAGGGTCTTCTTTTCATTCTTTCTCTTATCTCTCTCAAGACATGCTGTCTTCTTACCATTCACTTATTGCATATCTTTACCTTACTGGACCTGGCCCTGGCCCTAAGACTTGGGTAGCATTACCTTGTTATTTCTCGTACAAATAAGGCTTTTGCATTACCTCACCTTTCTTTTTTTTGCAGAACTTTGTTAATTCAAACCGGTTTAGATCGGCTCAAACTAGCACCTGGATGCAGGTCATTTTTAGTTCACAAGCTGCTTCTTTCATCGGGTCAGCACTTTTGCATTAAGTACCTCCCATTAGCAATGTTGGCGGCTGGTACCCCCCTCTCTCTCTTTATCTTTCTGCAGCCTCTGGCTAAAGTCTCCCCAGGCAGCGATGCCAGCAGTTGGTAACTTTTTCTCTCTCTGACGCCTCTGGCTAACAAGTTCTGCACCACAACTCTGTTTTGATCAATCAGATATGACTTTTAAGCAATTCTAGCAAGGAGAAAGTCAAGAATAAGTTCCTTTGTTCTCATTTTCAGCTGCATCAGTTAATTTTCTTGTTTACCCATTCAACTCAGTCCAAGCTGCTTCTTTCTGAATGGGGTAAGAGTTGACATTAGGGTGCTCTGATATCTCCTAACATTACTGCACAATGAGACATGAACATCTGAATTTCAGTTGGACAGACTATCCATTCAGTACATAGAACCCATTCTTTTATGTCCTGCCAGCAAGGTTAAACTTATTCCAAGCTGACTGAATGCTAAAATACTAATTTCTATCTGTAATTTACACTGAGAACTTAAACCTATTTTGTTAAATCTCTTGTGTTTATTCCAAATGAATAGCCTTTTTACACAAGGGATCACCTATGCACCTCTTGTCTATTAGTCACACAAGGGATCAGCCATGCACCTCTTGCTTCTCGTGCTTCTCTCTACAGGAATTCCTAAGCCCTCTCCAAATTCAAAGATTCACAATCCTCTGAATGAAGACATTTCTTCTGATCTTAATCTTAACTAGTTGACCTTTTATTCTCTTATCTTTGCCACCTATTGCTAGACGTTGTAGCCAGGGAGCACCTTCCACAATCTACCCTGTTAATCCTTTTAAGAATGTTATATATCTCAATGAGAGCACCTCTTATACTTCTAATTCTAAGGAACATTGGCCTAGTACACAAAATCTCCCCATGGAAGACAAACCTTCATCCCAAAAATCAAGGTAGTGAACACATGCACTCTCTCTAAGGCTAGTGTGTCCTTTTTCAGGAAAAGCAAAACACTGTAGATGCTGGGAATCTGAAATAAAAGCAGCTAGTGCTGGAGAAACTCAGCAGGTCGCAGCATCTATGGAGAGAGAAACAGAGTTAATGATTGGTGTCAGTTATGACTCTTTAGAACATAAGGGAGCTAGGAAAGACAAAGTTTTCCATGTATTGAAGAAGCAGTTAGAGGGTCCTGTCCAACAGATGGTAAAGTTGACCTGAGCACAAGGCAAAGTGGGTCCTAATGGGAGTAGAAGAGAGATGGAGATGAAAAGTAAGTATTAGTGGTAAGTGTCAGTATCAGAAAATTGGTCAGTTCTGCTCAGTGCAAACCCTCACAAAAAAGGCACTGGGTGTGTAATGAAACAGAGGGCAGGGTTCATGGTCTGAAGTTGTTAAACCGAATGTTGAATCCTGAAAGCTGGAAAATGAGGTGTTAATCTGGAACACTGCTGCAGGCCTGGGCAGAAATATGAGCATGAGAGCAAAATGGTGTATTGAAATAGCAAATGATTAGACGTTCAGGCCATTCTTGCCAACAGAGTGGAGGTGTTCCATATGTGGTCACCTGGTTTATGTCTGGTCTTGTCAATGGAGGGGAGGCAGCATTTTGAATCATGAATAACCTAGGCAAGATCGAATGGAGTACAGGTAAAGCACTGCATCACCCGGGAGGAGTGTTTGGAAATTCAGTGAGGAAGAGGAGGTAAAAGAGTAAGTCTCATTTCAGTGATTGTATGCAAAGGCATTATGGGGGGGTGAAGAGGTATTGTGAGTGACAGCGAAGTGCATGTGTTTAGTTGTGACATCCTGCTGGAGTTGACGGAAATGGTAGATCTTTTGAGTGCAGAGACTGGTTGGATGGAAAGTGAGGACAAGTGCAGAGGCTGGTGAGGTCCTTCTGTGGATAAGCAGTCTCAAACAGGCCATCGTACTCTGGCTGTTGTCTCACAAAGGTGCTTTACAATCTCGACAAGTTGTTTTTCCTCAGAACTCTCTGTAATAAAAGTCTAACATATCATTTATTTCTTAATTGGTTGCTGTATCTGCATGCTAACTTTCTGTGATTTGAGATTGGGGATAGCAAAGTCCCTTTGAGTACCAACATCTTCCCCTTGCTCAGAATGTTCAGACCTTCTGAAAAGAGATCTTTGTTCTGAAACATTAATTCTGTTTCTCTCTCCACAATTGCTGCCTGGCTAGCTGAGTATTCTCACCATTTTCCAATTAGATTTCATGTATTTACTGCAAGCTTAGACAACAACAGCAACTTGCACTCACATTGTCCCTTAAATATAATAAAATATCCCAAGGCACTCCGTAGACTCATCAAATTTTGACACTGAACCATATAAGGAGATAATTGAACCAACAACACATTCAATGGAGCAAATTTAGAGAAATCACCGATGAAGAAAGGGAGAAGGTATAAAAGATATAAAGACAGAGAAGTTTAACTCCAGAGTCTATGGCTAGGCAACTGAAGACACATCTACTAGTTGTGAAACAATGAAAATCAGGAATGCTGAAGTGTCAGAATTGGAGGAGCACAGAGGTCATGCTGGATCATAGGGCTGAAGGAGGTTACAGAGTTAGGGATGTTATAAAGAAATATTACAAATGAATGTGATTTTTCTAAATCAAAGCTTTGCTGTAGGGAACCAATATTGGATCAGTCAGCACAGGAGTGATGGGTAAATTAGCCTTGGATTTCTGCATCTGTATTCCTCTGCAGATTTTAATTTTTCATGGTTTAGGGAGAAGTTAGATTTCTATTTCTTAGGACAACATTGGATGTTCTCACACTTGTCCATTTTAAATTTTATTTGCCCATACTTTTATTTACTCTGTTTCTCTCCCTTGATAGCTTCTGCCTCCCATATACACTACTTACTATCATTCCTAACTTAATGTGGTTGTGCATAACTCTATTTCTCCATCCAAGTCAATAAAGGATATTGCAAAAAATTTAAGCCCCTAGATCAGATTTCTGAGAGATACTACTTGTTCCACCTGCTGATCTGTGCACACATCCTCCTCTTTGTCTCCTAACTTTCAACCAAACACAGGTTTATCTCACTCGGAGCCTTATTCATAAAGGAATCACATTAGCAATTTTGCAGTTAACTGAACAATTCTGAAATCAGGAGAACCTTGAAAGATTCAAATGAATGCTACTTCCCAATGCTGCATTTGTTTTTGAGCTTTAATACCAAGGTATGGGGACCAGCATTGCTGGATATTCATTGATCCTAAATTCTAATATTGTCTCTATTACCATTTCTTTTACTAATGCAGTATATTAAGCATTATTGCAGCTTTCTAATTTCAATTAAAGTGCAGGATAAAGTGCTAGACTTGATATTTGAGTGACCATCAGAGAAAATTTTCCTTGGGAATGAAATTAAGGGAATTGTTATCGATATTTTTTTGTGGCACATATATTTCCAGGAATCATGACGATCCAGACAATTGGTCAGGCCCTTTGTTTCACAGGTTCCATGGAGAAGGTGATATTAAGAGAGCAAAATTGATTTTATTTGTACAATGTTGAGATGTTGCCTGCCTAAATTGGCCATGAGAATTCAAGGCAACAATTTTTTTTGTGAAGTGGTCAACTATTTTGGTGAGAACAAACCCCTTTCGTAATTCATCACTGTGGATTTCAGCAATCTATCTCTTCATTTCAAGCATTAGGGTTGGGCAAGGTCATTGCAGAGATTCAGATATCATGACTGCAATGGGTACCTCAGGGATAATGCTGTATTGCCCATGATGCAGCTATAAATAGTGCTTTCAGAAATCAGATTTGAGGAGTAATCATGATAATTCGATAAAGACCTTGGCCACATCCATCATTCCTCAATTACATATGCTGGGATGAGTCCTCAGTGGGTTATTTTACAGAAAGGCAGATTTTAAGGTGGATAGATTTGGTGTAACATGTTTGAAACAGCATTGCATTGGTTGAATGCATTAGCCCATCCTTTGTACACCAACACTGAATGAGGAGAGGCAGCAAAATATGGAGAAAATATAGCCCTATAAATTGGTACAAAATAGGTATATTCCAATTTCAATCACCTATTTCACTTACTTCCAGAGCTGAAAGGAGAATGGACAACATTGTGCAATATGAATCACCACAGGTTCAAGTCTTTATCAGGAGTGGACATCAGTTTTTGGACAAGGTTCGGACATTCCTTGCAAGTGCTGTGAGAGAGGGAAGTCTCCAACAAGAAAGAGCAAGAGCCCACTTCAAAGAGGTATTCTTTTTAACTTATACATTAAGGAATCATCAAACGTGGAAAGTGCATGGTAAAGTTTCCCCTCTAACATACTGTTTAATTGATAACTGCCATTTACTAATTTTTAAAGTTTTTGATTGATACACAGTTGGAGTGACTGCCACCATCCACCCAGCTTTGTGGCAGTAACAGCCATGGAGGGATTCACATGCAATTTTACACCGTTTAAAACATCCAATATAACAAATTGTCAGAGTTGTCATTTTTTATGAATGCAAGCACCAAAGAGCTGGAACATCAGGGTGTTCAGTCAAGGACAACAGTGCTTCACCCTCCAGTCAGCAACATCTTCCTTATCTTCCACTTGATCTGTACCTGGTCACGCACTGTCAGCCTAGCAGGGGAGGTGAGATAACAAGGGGAATAAAAGAAGTGGCAGAGAGATTGAGAGAGTCACTGTGAGGTCAATGGGAGGGATAAGAGTACAGTGGGAAATGAAAGGAGCACTGGAGAGAGAGCACTATGAGACCAATGGGAGGGGGTGAGTGTACAATGGGAATAAAAGTGTCAGTGAGAGAGAGGGTCACAGTGTGACCAGTAGGAGGTAACAAAAGAAAATCGAAGTGGGAAACAGAAATGATTCATCAGTGAGTAACTTTCTTTTCTATCAAAACTTGTGTATTCATGCACACTTAGGAGCTAGGAAATTAAGAATTTTAAACAGATTATTATAATAGTAAAGGAATTAATAAGCTTAAGTTAAATCAATAGTTTAAACAGGGTACTAGTTAGGTTCTTATAGAGGTAGATGTTTCCAGATAATACCTTTGAAAACTTCCTTCATACTTTTTCATAATAACTGTGGGGTCCTTGATAAGCCTTTCGTTGGCTTGTGAGATGTATCCAGATTTTTGTGGCTAGGGTCATAAGTAGACAATCTCCTATATTGTTGGGTCGGTTTCAGTGTCCTTGAAAGGAAAGGGCCTTGTATTTGAAAGTACATTTGATAACCTTAGGTATATCAAAGGGTCTCACAGCAGAATAAGCACTTTCAAAGTGTGGTTATGGATGTATCATAGGAAATTATGGCAGTGAAATGTGTGCGCAGCAAAATCCCATAAACAGTGATGAGATACTTGACAACTTCTGATCTGTTGTTATAATATTAGAGAAGTGATAAATAATGAAACAGCTTCGGTGGGAAAGCAACTAGCTGTGGTGCATTATGTGTTAAAGGCGACAGCCAAGATGTTTCAAAGCCCTAAGCTTTGCAATGCCACACCTTCGTTATATTACATTGAGTGAACTAATTGCTGAACATTGATTTCTATGATAGCAGGCATCTTGAGTACAGAAGTGGGATTATCCGTTGAGCACTTTTAGCTGAAGACACTTGCAAAGATATCAGCTCATCTTTTCGGTTGCATACGGTGACTCACAATGCTGGAGGAAGAGTAGGCTTGCAAGGCCTTGTCCTGTCAATTCATAAGTTCTTCAACACTATTCTTGACAGGAAATGGCGGGGTTGCAGAGCTTGAGTCTGGTCTAGTGGTGTGAAACACTGATCTATACGTGCAGGAGAAACTGTTGAAGACCGTGCACCCGCAGCAAAAATCCCTCCACACTATCCTGACCTGCTGAACAGACATATATTTCCAAGAAAGCAATATCTTGCCTGACTCACTTTATTACTGCTTCATTTGCTTTTCCAGGTCTGTTCATTTTGTGGGCTGTTTCTCTTAGTATATTAATCTATCAAGAGGTATACGGTTAAACCAGGGTCCCATTATTCCATGTTCATTGCATTTTTACTTTAGTACAAATGTTTCTCATGGCATTAATACAGAAATGATTCACCTTCACAACCTGATGAGTAGCTCTCATCTATGTTGGAGAAATTACTATCTGGCCATTGGAAAATCCAGGCCAATGCGCAGAATTAAGGGGAGAAAGCAGGAGAATGGCTTTAATTCACGATGCTCATTTGAAGGCCCAGTTCAGAGATGATGGGCTGAATCACCCCCTTCTGTGCTGTTACAATTCTGAGATTTTATGTTTACATCTTTGTTACATTTAAAAGGTTTTTTTTAATTTCACAGATATTGCACATAATATTATTTTATGGCCAGATTAATCGTCCTAAGATTCAACCACAAGAGATTTTGCAGGAAAGTCAGAATGAGTTCTCTGCTAGGTATCCAGATGTCTTTGAGAGGTGCAGAACCCACCTTCCAACACGTCCTCCTTTCACAGTACTACTTGATGCGGTAAGTTTGCAGATGACACCAACATTGGTGGCGTAGTGGACAGTGAAGGTTATCACAAAGTACAACGGGACCTTGATCAGATGGGCCAATGGGTTGAGGAGTGGCAGATAGAGATTAGTTTTGATAAATGCATGAGGTATTGCATCTTGATTGGACAAATCAGGGCAGGACATACACAGTTAATGGTAGGGCCCTGGGGAGTGTTGTCAAATAAAGAGGGCCACCATTGCTCAAGTGAGGGGAGATATTGAGAAGGACAGTTGTTCATGGCAACCTCAGCTAATGAGGGGAATTGAATTCATGCTGTTGGTGTCACACTGCTTTGCAAACCAACCATTCCAACAACTGAGTGAAACCACCCCCCAGTGGGCTTAAATAGGAGGAAAGCCGTTGACAGTAAACTGCATTTGTCACTGAAGGACTATTTATGGAATGGTCTGCAGCACTGAAAGAAAAGATTTTAAAATCTGTGAGCAGAAAGGGAGAGATTACGGGGGTTTGGTAGTGCAAAGATGGAGAGGGAAGTTATAATTATAACTAAAGGACAGAATGTGATAAGGTGTCTTATTCACAATCAGTTCTGAAGAATGGTAGAATATGTACTTGATAAGTTAAAGGGATTTACTCCTGCCCTTTCTGGTCCTCAGGCCATTGCTGGAAAAACACTCATTTGCTGAATCCTGCATTAACTGCCAGGTTTCCTGAGCCCTGGGAAACTTTGTCCATTGTTGCTAAAATTAAATGATTTCCAAAATCTGATGACTGCATTTAAATATTACAATTACATCCTGCCTCTCCAGATGGAGAATCTTCAGTCACAGCACCAGCCTGCTGCAGTGAAAGTTGATTTAGGTCTGTTCATGATGGGGGCTGTACTTGGATTTAGCATATATAACAGTTTATGTCACCCCTGACTCTCTTTTGCCACTTTTGAGTGATTAACCTCCCACTCGCCCCATTTTCTAATGTACCTGTCTTTGTGGGACTTTGACATGTGGTAATTGTCTTCCATAATTGCCTGCATATCAATAAATGCATGTGAAAAAATAGCAATGGAAAATGATAGGTCTTGTAAAAAAGTTAAAGCTAAAGTAGGCCAATTTTGACAGCCTGAGACATGAAGTTTCAAAAGTTGATTGCGATAGACTGAGGCTGGTAGGAGTAGGGAATAATGGATGATTTGGAGATATTGAGGCACTGGTCAAGGATAAGAAGAAGACATACATCAGGTATCAATAGCTGGGATCAAAAGAATCTCTTGAAGAGTGTTAAGGAAGTAGGGACATTCCTAAGGGGGAAACCAGGTGGGCAAAAGGGGGATATGAGATAGCCTTGGCAAATAAGATTTGGAATAATCAAACAAGATTCTACAAGTACATTAAGGGCAAAAGAGCAACGAGGGAGAGAATAGGGCCCCTTAAAAATCAGGAGGGTGGCTAATGTTATGCCTTTATTAAAGGGAGGCTGCAAAAAGAAGCCTGAGAATTATAGACCCATGAGTCTGATGTCAGTAGTGGGTACATTGTTGGAGGGGATTCTGAGAGACAGGATTTACATGCACAAGGGCTGATTAGGAATAGTCAGCATGGCTTTGTTTGTAGGAAATCATGTCTCACAAACTTGACTGAGTTTTTGGAGTATGTGACCAAGAAGATAGATGATGGCAGACCGGTAGACGCTGCCTACATGAACTTTAGTAAGGCCTTTAACAAGTTTCTGCATGGTAGGCCAGTTATTAAAGTTTGATCACATGGGATTCAGGGAAAGCTTGCCAATTGCATACAAAATTGGCTTGTTGGTAGTAGGCAAAGGGCGGTGGTGCAGGATTGTTTATTGGACTAGAGGCTTGTAAACCAGCTGTGTTCCACAGGGATCGGTGTTGGGTACACTGTTGTTTGGCATTTATTTAAACAGGGCCTAGATAAGGTGCATAGCAAATGGCTTTGCCCTAGGGTAGGGGAGTTCAGAATTAGAATGCATAATTTTAAGGTAAGAGGAGAAAGATTTAAAAGGAACTTGAGGGGCAATGATTTCCACACAGAGAGTGGTACATATGTCAAATGAACAGAGGAAGTGGTATAGGTAGAGTGGCAACATTTGGAAGATGTATGGACAGGTACATGAATAGGAAAGGTTTAGAGGGATATGGCCCAAATGCAGGTAAGTGGGACTAGTTTATTTTGGGAAACTTGGTCGGCATGGATGAGTTGGACTGAAGGGTCTGTTTACGTTCTGTGTGACTCTATGACTCTATGAGTTAAAGGAACGTAAGTTGTTAAGTTATTCTTTCTTTTTGTATTGTCCACATTTATTTTACAGGTTGTTGAAGTTGTACGAGAAACAAGGGAAGAAAATGTTTTGAAATGTTTATTGCGGCAGATAAATGAAATGGATGTTACTAATGCTAACAACACGCCATGTGGAAATATTTTTGTATCAACAGTTATCAACTTCTGCTATTTTTATGACACGGCTGCCAAAAAGAGAACACCCAATTACTTTGGTGCTTCAGTGTCATGTAAAGGAAGAATACAGAGAGAAATAATGATTGATACATTGTGTTGCCGCACATGGCACAATGCAATTAGCTGGGCAGTATGTGTTGGCAATGAATATAATGAACACGCTTTCGAATTTCCTCCCAATGTGGTCTCAATGGCATTTAACATATACACTCCGGGACAAAGCACTCAGGGAAACCAACGTATTGATCGTATTCTGGCTAGATTTGGGAATAGGCCAGTGCCCAGGGTTCTTCAAATTGTCACAGAAGTTAGAGAATTTGGATGCTTAGTCCCAGGGCACTTTGTGAAAGATGCTCCACAATGTTCCCAAACATTCAGTTTTGTCCACAGTCACAAGCTCCTCAAACCGCTCATTGGGAATACGGAAACTGTGCAGAGTGTGAATCACTAAGCCAGCTTCTGTATTCTCAGGAGCAAATTGCCACGAGACTGCGATATAAATTTCAAATTGGACACGATGAATTAAAACGTGAAAAATATGAACGACTTCAACATAATCTTCAACAAGTACAGTTTCCTTTTGAGCCTGAAATTTCATTTTACAATAATCAGCTATAAAGAGATCTACTCTGAAAAGATTCCAACGTTGAAAGCACATTAGAACACACAGTATGTCATATTCCTGGTCAACCAACTATTAATTCAACTGCTTATTTGCAGCTGTGGAGTATTACGCTTTATACAATGTATTCAATTCAATGGTTGGAGAATTCTAGGGAACATATTACTAGTTTTCAAATTTGTGTTTCCTCCATTTAGTCGTTTATCTGGAAAGTGATCCCAGTGCAGTACATCAAACACTTTTAAAGGTTAAACACCTGACTTTCTCCAAGCCAAGATGGTAATGAGTGATCACTAAGCTTGTTGCAGTATTAGTTAACCTGGTATGATTTCTGCAGAAATTTGAAAATTAAACAATTAATCAATTCAAATAGGCTCATTCCTGTAATCTAATCAACTGTTTTAGAGTTACTTGTAGCACAGAAACTGGTCATTGCAGAATTAAATATTCCCCAAATGCTGATAAGAATGCTGAATGGCCAATCTAACTTATTTCCATGACATCATAACATGCTGGCCCTCAACGTTAACATACATCCAGAACGTTGGCAAACAAAGTGGGGGATGGTATATCCCATTTAGAATATTTTATATTGATTTGCCAGGTGATATTCTAACCTATATTTCTAGAATTCCACATCTTATTCTAATCACAAGAAACTAAGATGCTGAACAGTGGCACAGCAATAAACTTTTAATATGTGTGTGAATGATCTCCCATTGAACCTAAGACAAATATATACTGAAATCATCTTCCTGTTTGAATTACAGAGCTCTACTCCTTTATTGAGAACATTGCAAAGCAGAAAAACTATGCTTACATAAGCTCACATCCAGAAAGAAAACTATGCATAGGTTAAGATTTCAAACTGCATGCTTAGTTTAGGCTTGGCTTATATTTCAAATATTCACTGTTATAACATTCTCTGACAATATCACAGTTATAGATTGCCAGTTGACCTCATGAAAATACATTGGCTATCTTTTTCAAGTTATTCCACCAATAAATAAGATACATAGCTTATTATTTGTCTTAGAGACCGCTGAAACATTAGGGAAGATTAATCTAACAACTGTTTCTATTTATTGTTACTTTCATTAATTAGGAGGGGCTTGTGAAAGACAATTAGTTTCAAGCTGAGGATAACCAACAAGTAGGTTTCCATTAATGGAAAACAATGGGCTTATGATCAATGAAGTTACATTTAAAGATTAATTGGGTTTGTCTGGAGCCTGATAATTTTGGAACAAAAACAGAAATTGCTGGAGAAACTAACCAGGTCTGGCTGCATCTGTGGAGAGAAAGCAGAGTTAACATTTTGAGTCCATTGACCCTTCATCAGAACTGATCTTAGTGTGAGTAAAAGAGGAATTTTACTCCTTCCTGACACTGAGAAAAATAATAAGACATGACATCAAATATGCACTCAAAAGAGTTAGATTTTAACCTCAGACCACTAATATTTGATTTGTATCTTGCTACCTATCCATATTTCTTCCTTTCCCCACTGTTGCTGAAATACAGTTTATTTGTGTACTCTCATGCCTAGTTTTGTTGTTTTCTGACAAGTTCATTTCAATAATGTTTCATTTCCAAATATGTACCACTTACCATCCACATACACATTGAAACAGGAGATGTCAGTTTCTTGGCACAAGGCTCAGTGACTGGTTCCAATGTTGGTAAAATAGTAAATTCAGTTCGGACCATTTTGTTTACTTTACATTGGTTTCCTGAACTTTCCTCAATCTGTGGGCAGGTGTTTGCTACAGCCATTTTGGGCCAGTGCCTATTGCTTTTAAAAAATATTTTACTCCATGAAAGGTCTCAGGTATTAAAATCAAATGATAGAAGTTGCAAGTAGACAGTCCATTTTTACCTTTGGCATGACAAACTTGAGAATAAATTCTCAGACTAGACTGTCACATGGAGTACTACAGAGCGCCTATGACTGGAGAGAGCTTGTTTTTTCTTTTATGTAAAATGTATTTTTACATTAAAGTTGCTCACATTTAACTCTCTCATAGGAACAAAAATTACAATGAGATAGGCTGGCATGGTAGCTCAGTGGTTAGCACTGCCGCCTCATAGTGATAGGGACCTGAGTTTGATTCCAGCCTCAGGCAACTGTCTGTGTCGAGTTTGCATGTTCTCCCTTTGTCTGCATGGATATCTGTGGGTGCTCCAGTTTCCTCCTACAGTCGAAAGATGTGCAGGTTAGGTGGATTGACCATGCTAAATTACCCATAGTGTTCAGGGAGGTGGAGGTTAGCCATCGTAGGGTAGCAGGATGGGTCTGGATAGGATGCATTTTGGAGGGTTGCTGTGGACTTGTTGGGCTGAGTGGCATGTTTCCACACTGAGGATTCTAGAGAAAAAAAATAGCTTTGCAGTAAACTTCATAATAATGTATTTTAGACCTTTTTCAGCATAAGATCTTTTTCACATCTGCCTAAATGTTATTACATTGAAATCATTTCAATGTTATATTCCAATTAAATATGTTGCATTCTGCGAAAATGCTTGACTTAATCGCTCGCTTTTAACAACTATCAAAAGTCTTTGGAGAATTTGCTGGGCAAGGCAGTTTTGCATAACTAATATTTTTCACCTGTGTTGACAGCATCAGATTTGTTGGAATACAGTAAGAAAATAATTATCTGAGAGTTGAAACCACAAGTAGTTTGTAGACGTCAGCTACACTGAATGCTGTTGGAGACAGAATATCAATTGATTTTTACCAAAGCTTTTTGAATTCAATACACTGTAATTTTATCAAAGTCAATGCAAATAAATATTATGCAGAGGAAATTCCAATGTTCAGTGTTTTTATTTGATTAATAGAAAGGATGACTTGTACTCATAAAGACACATGAACTCAGGATACGACAAAATGCTTTTCACACATAATAAACACCCACAAACAATGGTGTGATAAAGACCAGATAATGTATTTTATTCAGAGATAGCAAGAACTGCAGATGCTGGAGTCGGAGACAACACAGTGTGGAGCTGGAAGAACACAACTGGCCAGGAAAGTTGACGTTTTGGGGCGGAACCCTTCTTCAGAAATGGGGAGGGGGAAGGGAGCTCAGAAAAAATTAGAGCGAGGAGGAGTGGGGCTGGGGAAGGTAGGTGGAATGGTGGTAGGTGAGCGCAGGTAGGCAGTGGTGGGGATTGGTCAGTGAGGTGGGAGGGGCAGATAGGTGGGAGAGAAGATGGACAGGTTGTGTCAGGTCAAGGAGGCGGGGATGAGAGGGAGGGTTGGTCATGGGATGAGGCCAGGGGCTGGGGAGATTTTAAAACTGGTGAATTTCATGTTGAGGCCATCGGGCTCTAGGGTCCCGAGGTGGAATATGAGGTGCTGCTACTCCAGTTTGCGGATGGTGCCATTTTTTGTTCACACTGTGATGTCCATGCCGGCTCTCTGTAAGAGAGGCTCACATGGTTCTGCTCTCTGGCCTTTCCCTTAGCTCTGTAATTTTTTACTCTTCCAATATTTAGCCAAAGCATTTATGAAAATGACCCAAATAAATCTTCCCCCACCAATACGAAGGCAATGCCTTTCAAATCCTGATAAGTCACTGTATAAAATCAATTTTCCTCATGAGATTGGATTTGACAGTCACTTGAACTTGGTTCCCTTTGGATCACAACCTCCTGTGATCAATTCTGTGTGGACTCCACATGAATTTGAATACATCTCAAACTTCCTCTCAAGCTTCTCTAAGGACAACAACCTTGCTTTCTCCAATCTATACAAATAACTGAAGCCCCTTATGAATGTAACCATTCTCATTAATCCTCCCTCCACCCTCTCTTAAAATTCTCATATCGTCCCTCAGTGTGATTCACATGATTGCATACATTACTCCAGCTGAGACCAAACCAATAACTAAGATTCTTCGCATCTTCATTACTGTTGGACACAATGAACATGAGGTAAAGAGGAGCACAGGGTTTGAGGTGGCGGTATGGGGAAATGAAGACCTGTTCTTTGGAGCTTTGAGGATCCTCTTTAAGGGAAGGTTTGCTTGATTTTGGGCTGACATTAGTGAAGGCAGGAGGGGTGCAGTGGGTTGGAGGCAGGGGAATCAGCTCCCAGCAGCCTCCCCTCTGCTCCCTGAAGCCAGGTTGCTTGTTCTTTGACAGAAGGATACCCCCTTCATCCTGGGAGCACTACGACAACATTCTAAGGGTTTACTCGTTGTGCATCCTGCATGGTGAGACCTTACTCACCACTGGGTTAATGTCAATCATACTGGGATGAGGCCCTTGAGTGATTATTAACTGATATTAAATGCTTCAATTGGTGGCAATGGGAAGATCAAGTACAGGTCTTCCCCACCATAGGATCAAGGGACAAAGATCATAAGGTCCCAATGCCACCCTCTGTCTGATTAAGTGCTCCTGCCTTCAAATTTGCCACTGGAGAATCTAGTAAATTCTGCTGTATATCTTTGTTTTTAAAAATCAGCATCATGTATCACTTTCTCAACCTGTCCTGCCACCTGTCTTGGTTCTGATGAAGAGTCTAGGCCCGAAACGTTAGCCTTCCTGCTCCAACGATGCTGCTTGGCCCGCTGTGTTCATCCAGCTCTACACCTTGTTATCTCAGATTTTCCAGCATCTGCAGTTCCTACTATCTCTTAAACAATTTCTGCTCATTTTCTTGTGTCACTCACCACCCACATTCTCCTTTCACAGCCCAACTTTACCTCGTCCTGAATCCAGCCTCGGTGGAAAAGAAAACAATTTATTTCATTTGCAACTGCACATTGAAATTCCTGTTTGTCTAGCCTTTAAATCGCCACTTGCCACTACTTTTCTGCAGTTACTGCTTTGTTACCCTCCCACCTCCAGTTTAGATAGACTATTCCTCAGTAAAACTATTATTCCTTCTGACCAGGGCAATTTGTCGTAGTGCAGTTCTAATTTCCACTCCATTAAGGCCTCGGAACAGAGACATGCATATATTTGGCACATTACCTCACTTCCATACATTTGCATATCATTAAAGTCGCAATTTGACTTCCGTATGTACTAGTTGCAATTATCCTCCCTTTCACTGAGAAACCAGCAGAGCAAATTCCCGACATGTAAAGGAAGATCTGGTGCCTGGAGGCTACAGCTCACTGAAAAATTGTTCCAGCCATCATCCAACTGCTTCTTCAGGCCAAAATCCTTGCATGCTCAAAGGCCACTATGTTCCTTGAACCTTCATCCATGCAAGGGGTGGCGATGGCGTAGTGGTAGTATCATGGAACTGCTTAATCGAGAGACCTAGATAGTCTGGGGACCTGGGTTCAAATCACTGCTTTGGCAGATGGTGGAATTTGAATTCAATAAATATCTGGAGTTAGGAATCTAATGATGACTGTGAACCCATTGTCGAGGAAAAATTCATTTGGTTCATTAATGTCCCTTAAGAAAGGAAACTGCCATCCTTACCTGGTCTGGCCTACATGTGACTCCAGACCCACAGTGATGTGGTTGACTCTTACCTGCCCTCTGGGCAATTAGGGATGGGCAATAAATGCTGCCTGCCCAGTGATGCCCTCATCCTGTAAGTGAATAAATGAAGTGGGCATCAGCAAACCACCAACTCTCACACTACTTCAGCCTTTCAACACTGTATTGGAGCCCAGGGACACTTAAGCCTTGAATGCTTCTGCCTACTTCAGATGTCAGCCCCTTGTTGTTCATTTATCTCTCTCTGGAAGCATCTCCGGCTTATAAGAAGTTGAGAAAGAACTTATTCACTTCAAAATTGTATCTTGATTCATCAATTCAAAAGTTAGAGCTCACAGCAACTGCTGCAGAAAAGGCAACTGGTGTCCTTCAAGTTCAAGCTGACCATTTTACTAAACCGGAGAACAGAAAACTTCTGCTGGGGAGAACAACAGCACACACCCTTCAGAGTTTCAGAGCTAGTAAGCATTGCAGATGCTGGAGTCAGAGATAACAGTGTGGAGATGGAGGAACACAGCAGGCCAGGCAGCATCAGAGGAGCAGGAAAGTTGACATTTCGGGTCGGGACGCATCTTCAGAAATAGGGAGGGGGCAGGGAACTCAGAAATAAATAGAGAAAGGAGGGGTGGTCTGGGAAGGTAGGTGGGATGGTGATAGGTGAGCGCAGGTAGGCAGTGTGGGGATTGGTCAGTGAGGTGGGAGGAGCTGATAGGTGGGAGAGAAGATGGACAGGTTGTGTCAGGTCAAGGAGACGGGGATGAGAGGGAGGGTTGGTCATGAGGCTGGGGATGGGGAGGTTTTAAAACTGGTAAAATCCACATTTAGGCCATTGGGCTGTAGGCTCCCAAGGCGGAATATGAGGTGCTGCACCTCCCGTTTGTGGGTTGAGTCACTGGGACATTGGAAGAGACCCAGGATGGACATGTCACCCAACCTGTGCCTTCATTGCACTAGCAAGAACCAGTTCAAGAATTAGGCATTATGCATGCAATTTTCCAATCACAGAATTAAGTGCAAGTCTATTTTCACGAGAGTATTCTATAATCTATACAAAGTCTAATTGATCTATCCAGTTTAGGAACAAACATGATCGAACTCTAACTTCTTTGACTAGGTCAATCAAGTGATTGTATGGAATATACTGAATTTGTTTCCACCTGAGTTTGTTTTTCTGGGCCCAGTCAACATGGATGTTGTTTTTGGGTCCTGTCCCTCCTATGTCTACATTATGTCTGGCTAATGTAGAACATCCAGGTGGATCTATACGGATTACCTCATAAAAGATCCTTCCATTGTCCTTTCTTGAAATATGAGAACACAGTGTCTAACTGTCCCAGTATTTCTGTGTTGGCTAATTGAACTGTTGAAGGTTAACTTTGAGAAGTGTTCACATTTCCTCCCAGCTCACTCTCATCATCTCCATTTATTATCTCCCAGTACTGTTACCAACTAACACACTTGCTCTTTCTTATCTTCTTCGCCATGATTATACCTATTCAGCATGTTGATGTGACATAACCCTAATGTTATGACTAAAAGCCAATTCAAAGGGCTAAGTCTGGCACATTCAGTTGAGGCATCACTGGTAGCAAATAATAGGAAAGCTAATACGTTATCCCATTCCTGTGGATATTCATGACAGTATGCCTTAATCATTGTTTTAAGCATCAGATGGCGAAGCTCCCTGTGTTTATAGATGATACAATGTTGACTTTAATTGTTTAATTTCCAAACAGCTATTAATTTCTAGGAAAACTTTAGATGTGAAGATAGAACTCTGATCAGACTGTACCTCAGTTGGCAGTCCGTAAGAAGCCAAACACTGTGCTAAGTTTTCAGCGACTACCCTACCTGTATTCACTCTTAAGGAACAGCCTCTGCATATTGAGTTGTCATGTCCACAATTGTAACATATACATTGAGATTGTATAAGCTCTAGAACTAGTAGGGAAAGGGGCTCAACAGAAAAGGGGGGCGGAGATCGAAATTTCAAGGGAACATATAAGGGAACCGGAAATGTGGAGAGAAATGTGTGCATCACAGGCAGATTCTGCAAATCACTCACACTGAAGCAAAGAGCTTTGCTGAATCATCATAAAGGTTCAAAAGTCAATTAACTCTATAATAAACAACACGGGAAGTTAATTTTCACAAATTGTCAGTCACAAACTGTTTATACTCAGTATACTATGAGGTCAGGCTCAGACTAAAAGTGTGCCTGCCCTTTGAGAATACAGTAGCATTGTGTTTTGGAGGCTCAAGGAATCTGGGTGTGGTAAGACTACTATCTGAAATACCTTGGGCCTTCATGTGGAGGCGCCAGTGTTGGACTGGGGCGGACAAAGTCAGAAGTCACATGATACCAGGTTATAGTCCAACAGATTTATTTGAAATCACAAGCTTTGGGAGTTCCAAAAGGTTGTGTGATTTCCAGTAAACCTGTTGGACTATAACCTGGTGTCATGTGGCTTCCAACAAATTTCTTTATGAGTAATGGGATTGAATCTCCACCTCAGAAATACAGCTGATGTATTAGGACAGAGTAATTAAGCTTCATACCATATATATAACGTCAGATGTGTTGAGTGGTGAATGCTTGTTTTTTTCTCTCTGTGTCTTTGAGAGGTGACCATTTAAATTGAACTTAATCTTTTCATGAGAACCACCATTTGTGTCTGTTAATATATGCTTCATTTTATGCTAGCTTTGCGTTTAACCATTACAGTTTTAAAGTTACAAAGCTTTAAAATGTAAAATCTTATCCAATAATTCCATTTATTTGAATCCTTTTTTTCCTAGGCTATAATCCAAAGATCCAATGACAGTTGGAGATATTAAATTTAATTCAATCGATCTGGAATTAATACAAATTCAGAATGAGGAATAGTGACCATGCAACACCAGAATGTTGCAGAAGCCCACAATTTAAACAAACATTTTTTGTACTACCTCACTTTAATTAATTCCACTCTAGCCTGTTTTAATTCCTCCCTCATCCTTCATAACACAGGATGAAAAGGATTTCCTCCTCAGTGGTGATGCTGCACCTATGTATATTTAGTGACAGTGTTTCTAGGTCAGGTTTAAGGTGGTATTTAGGGTAAATTACCTGGAGTGTTAGGTTTGATCCTCCTGGCTTTCATTTACATGTAGTGGGGCAGATGTGAGAAAATCATACTGCAGACTGATAGTGCCAGAAAAGATGTGTCACTGCAATTGGCAGTAATGCCTAATTCTGTTGCTTCAGTATCCCAACAGTAACCGCATACATACAGTAAAATGATGGAAAAAGTAGCCAATGACTTTCTACAAAATAAGGTTGCTCTGCTTTAATCTTTTAAATCATCTCTTGTATTTATTTCTCATGCTTGAAAAGAAATGGTGGACTTAGTACGCCATGAAGAAGCGGGAAGGTGCAATACTTTGTCCGAAGTGGAAACCAGTTTTTGAAGATTATTCAATCATTCATTGCAAATTCTGTGCGAGAGGGAAAGCTTACTCAAAAGAAAGGAAGAGCGTACTTCAAAGAGGTATTGTTTTCACTTGTTCATTAAAGATACATAAAATGTGGATTGGCAATTTCCCTCTTTTCAAACATTTTGAATTGATATACAGGTTGCGTTCCTGCCACCACCCGCCTGATTGCGTGGCATTATTTGAGCCAGAAAATAGGGGTAGGGACCCATTACACCAGAGCCCCTCTCACTTTTGTGTTTCTCAAACCATCAGTTGTGGCACACCTCCCTCTTCTTAAAATGCAAACATGACAAAAGCTGAATCCTCAGTCTCTTTAGCCACTGAGAGCATCTCTTCACCCTCCAGTCAGCAGCACCCTGTTCTTCATAATCCACCCGAGTTGCTCCTGCCTCCTAATGCTGTAGATTTCACTCACCTCTGGTTAATGATAGTGTTCAAATAATCTAACCAGTTTACTTAATTCGGCTATTGCTATACCAGATGCTGATTTCTAAAGGTTTCTGCTTTTTTTTACAATTCAATTTAATTTTAATACCTTTATGTCGTAAGTACTGTATATCATTCTTAATGTCTGAACATTGCATATTAAAATACTTGTTTTTAATCTTGCAGGCATTGCATACAATATTATTTTGTGGGTGCATTAATATTCCTGTTATTAATCCGGAAGACATGATCGATTGTCGTGAAATTCAGTTATTATCTGAAAAGTATCCAGATGTCTTTCAGAAATACAACACCCATCTCCCAAAACGTCCTCCTTATGCAGTGCTACTTGATGCAGTAAGTTCAAGCATTTCATTGAGGGATGC